AGGACGTGAACAAAAGTTTGGAAATTCATTGTATGTCAATCGATAAATATTAGATAAGAATTAATATTGAATTTTATCTAGTCATAGAAAAATGGAATGTGCACAGAATATAAACTTTGAATATCATTTATAAAAATGTATAGAACATCAACATTTAAATTACAAAATAAATGCATTTTTTAAACTGATATAAATATTTTATCTCGTATAAAATTCTGCAGTTTATTAATAGAAAATATAAATCGACAATGAATTTGAATAAAAAATGCTTGCGATTTTCGACCAACGTGAAATCGTTCCTGCCCATTTAGCAGTCGCAGCTGCGCTAAAGACAAACTTGAACGTATTTGGCGGCACGCATTCGCATTGGCAGCGGCAAACGCGTCCCTCGTTTCAATAGACAGTACGGGAGAACGAGATAGGAGACACTCGGACCAACTCGGCGAACAGGCGCTGACATTAGCGCTTAAGCGTCGACCAGTTCGTTGAAATGTCCTAACGAGCACCGTAGAAGAAATCAAGCGGGTGACTCATATCGCGGCTAAGAGATTTTCAAGCCTGATTAGATCACCAATGATATTTCAATAAACTGGATCGTGCGACGCGCAGAAAATTAGGGGTTGCCGAAACGGGAATCTCAACGAGGTGACTCATCCCGGTGACGCAGACACTTCGTTTCATTAATTAATTAGCATTAAACCTGAGAAGCATGTAACTTCTAATTAAAAATCTGTCCTTTTTGTCTTGTATCTTTTCTTATCTGTCTGTATCTCCTTTCAGATTGCACTACAATACAATCCGATTACTTTCTGATACTATTAATTATTTAGAACGAAACTACGATACGAGATAACTGTCTGTTGCAAGGAAAACAATGATAGACACGCTAAAGGTAGAAATTATTAGACAAATACCTTGAGATTTAAAAAATTGGTAAGAAGAATTTTCTCCCTCTTCTCACGTCTTCGAAGAAGAAACAAAAGAATCAGTTGTTGCTTACGTTTCGGATTCCCACATCGAACGGATCGAAATCCAAAGTGCGTCCACCGGCGATTGCAAGTAGCGAAAATGGATCAGTTCCCTGTTCAGAAGATTTTCAACGAGTGCACGGAACGGCCGAGATGGGAAATATCCATGTCACTTGCCGATCGCAAAAACTGCGAACGATCTGGAGGGATCGATGGAGGACGGAGTGGCTATTCGTTCGCCAAAGACACGCGACGACTGTTTTGCCGCCGCGTCGGTTGGTTTTGCGCGATCCATCGGCGAAGAAAGCTGACTTGAAAAGTGGGGAGCCTCTTCTCGCTGCTCTTTTTGATAATGCACACATGTGACGCGATCACCGTTCACACGTGTTTTTCCGGTCATCCGTCACTTCCGGTTCCAATTTCGACTTTTCATTATAAACATTTTTGTGAAAAGTTCAGTAAAAACTTATTAATACGAATCGTGATAACATGTATGGTAAATATAGCTGCGGGAATTAAGTAAATACATACTGCATTTAATTAAGCAATGACGTTAATGATCGTCGTTTCTCAGCAGGTTTGACGAATGGCTTTTGATACGAAACGAATATGATTGTAAAACATAACTGGAATGACGTCAACGTGTTAAAATTACTGTTAATTAATATTCGACCCCCGTACTTTCGTACGTGTTCTACTCAGAATAAACTCTGAAGAGTTTATGAAGGACTATATGAAAGTCTGACAAAACGTGAGTGGAATATTATTTGTAGTTCTTTATACTAATTTATTAATAAGCAGTTTTCATATTAAATAGAAAGTTTTCTATTTTCTTATTAAGAGAATCCAAGTCTCACTGTAAGTAACAGCAGCAAACAGAGATTAACTGAGATTCTTTTTAATTATGAATTATATATATAAATTGTAATCGTTAATTGAGATTTTTCTAATTAAGCATTAAAATTGTAAAAGAGT